AGGCTAACTCTGCTTTCATAATGTCAATCCTTGTTGTATTCAAAAGGAAAATTGTAATAAGATAAACCTGCCACCATGTGCAGTGCCATCCTTTTTGAAACGAGATGGATTAGTGAGAGCTCCTAAGCTCTGTCAGCTCTGCAGCTCCAGGATATCGACCATTCCCCAGGGCACCCTGGAGAGCATGAAGTGCCAGCCTAGCTTTATACCTGTGATTCCAAAGCATGGGAACCTGACATAGGCCCAAAGGGCCCAAGTACTGTGATGTTTATCCTACCACTGTGCTGTCTATGTATTTGTGAGGACTCTTCAAGACCTGAAGAGAGGAGAAAAGACATCTGCCACCCCTCTGCTCCAGCAGTGCTGGGCAGCATGTGCCCTGTAGTGTTCTGCTGCTCCACCATGCAGATGTGGCCCTTTGATGCTCACCAAATGACTGATAACCATGTTTGGTCCTGGGACCACAAAGCTGCCATGAAACACATGGACATCACAGCTTCAGACTTCTGTCAGGTAAGTTGAGGAGGCTGATGGTGCCTGGCTTGTTGGGGGCTGGATCAGACAGATGCTGCCTTGCTCCAAGGGGAATCCAGACAGGCACTGCAAACTATGCCCTTTGGTACAGCAGGGTCTGACCACAATGGGCACAACCCCCTTTTGGCTACTGCACTACGGTGTCAGCTGATACTTTGTAAGGACCTGGAAGTAAAAGGTGAACCATCACCACAGTGAAAATTGCCCTGTCAAAATCTTGCTTTTAGTGTCATGCTTAATGTGGACCAGATGGCATGAGGCTTTCAGAAAGATTTGGTGCAAAAACTTGGTGCATTCATTAGTCATGAGATGCCTTCTGTTGGTCAAAATTATCAAGCCAAGGAAGACATGACAGTGGGTCTTCAAGGAGTTGAAGACTGGTATAAAAAAAATCATGTAAAGCCCTGTTCTTTCTTATTCCCCGTTGATCCATGTGAAGGTGGAAAGCCTCTGGTTGCCTAGCAGAACTTCATGGTGTCTTGCTAAAGTATGTCAAATGGTCTGGAGCTAATCCCTGACTCTGTGCACCCAAAACCAGGTGTCCAGCTTTCCACCCAGTGCAGGAGACCAGTTTGGGAGCCCTGTAAGATTTTTCACAGGTGAGGCTTAGCTCAAGTAAGAGACAAAAAGCCTGCAATACTCTTTGCAGTTTGTCAACACAAAACTTTACTGTTTCTCTTTAGTTTCTCTTTCTGAAGCATTTTTTCCTGTCTAAGCAATCAAGAGATGGTGAGACCCAAGAAACCATAAAAGGCAAATTTAGAGAGTCTGATTTTTTTCATTCAGGTGAAGACTCCCTAAGATGCTGGACATGTTTGGTCTTCTGGCTACAATCAGCTTTCTCTGATATGGAAAGCAACACTGTAAGTACAGTATTTTCAGCAAGGAAAGGATCATGAACCTCTACCTCCATGCTCCTGCCCTGGCCCTATGCCTGCAGTGTTCCCCAAAGTTCCCCAGATTTGAGTACAATGATGTAAAAGGAAGGGCTCTAGAAAAAAGGGGGTCCAAGAGCGCTGGTCAATATTCAAGCATCACATTTTCCAAGCTCAAGACCAGGGTATCGCCATGAGCAAGAAACCAAGCAAAGGGGGCAGGAGACCCCTTTGTATGAGCAGGGAGCTTCTAATAAATCTCAAGCAGATTCTGGGATGTGGAAAAAGGAACTGGCTGTGTGGGAGGACTGAAGGAACAGTCACAGTATGTGGGGATGTGACAAAGAAGGCCAAAGCCTATGGAGAATTAAATCTGACAAGGGATATGAAGGACAAAAAGAAGGGTTTCTAAAGTACATTAGCAGCAAAAGGAAAATTTGGGAAAACGTGGGGCTGCTGCTGAATCAGATGCATGTCCTGGTGACAGAAGACAGAGAGAAGGCCCAGTTACTGAATGTCTCAGTTTTTAATGCTGAAGTTGGGAACCCCAGACTTTGGAAGCAAGAGAGGAAGGGTGGAGAAAGGGAGACTTCCCCTTGGACATAGAGGGCTGAGTTAGAGATTGGCTTGGCAGACTTATGTCCCATAAACTTCTTTACATTGAGGGTACCAGAGCATTGGAATAGGCTCCCTAAGGAGGCCATGGAGTCTCCCTCTGGAGACAGTCCAAATCCACCTGAACACATCCCTGTGTAGCTTGCTCTAGGTGACCCTGCCTTAGCAGGAGAACAGGACTAGGTGATCTCCAGAGGTCCCTTCCAAATGTGATTCTGGGATTTCCCAAAATGCTGGGACACATGCTATAGCTAAATCTGAAAATTTCCCCTGGGGTCTACTGGCCCTCCCAGTGCCAGGCAGAGAAGCACAGTCTGGAGGTGGCCCAGATCCACAGGCAATTAATAGTTCAGTCAATTTGGGAGATGATTTCACTTCAATGACTCCTTAAGGCAAAACTTTTGGCCCTTACTGGTTTTGAGATTTCTTTTACAGCCATCACTGGAAATGTGATCTCATATTAATCTGCTTGCAAAATAGGCTCAGTGCTCCTCCCTTGAAGAGAGACAAACTGGGGGTCTGTTCCAGCCAAACCTTAAGCATACACTTAACTTTGTCATGCCTGTGCAGGGCCAGCTTGAATATATGATCCTGTAATGAGCATTCACAAAGCACAGTGGAGCTCTGGAAGTATGAACCGCTGAACTGCTCACTCCTACACAGTCAGGGAGCTGCACTGCCTATTGGAGAACTAGAGTATACAGAATTAACTTCATCTTAATTCAGTCCTCTGAGTATGCCATAAAGTTCTCACTGGTAATACTGTCCTCTGAGGACATTATGACATGTCAACATAGTGACTATTTTCTCATCTGATGGCAATAACAAACTGCCATAATGCAAAGTATAAAAAATTCAGACTCTTCTTAGTTCTGGTAACTACCATGCCATCAGAAGATGAGATTTTATATCTTTATTAAGAGAAATGAAAAAAACTATTTACAGCATACTAGCCGGTAAGACAAAAATGAACTAAAGTACCAACCAATCTACTACAATTTTCTTTACCGCTACTTACATTCTAATCATAGCATCCCAAACTTAGCTTGTCAAGTTACCCTTCAAATCAAATGCAAGAGAAAAATCCATGCTTGGCTGTGCAACTATAAACCCAGCCAGTCTAGTAAAGTGAGAGTTACTCTTCCACATACTTGGCAAATCTGGGAGCAGAATTTACCACTCTATGTAAATATTTCTGCATAGTTTGTTTAAAAAAAATTAAAAAATCTTTCCTACTCCTCTCCCTGGCAGACTCTTAGAAAGTAGTAAATATGCAGATGGGCATAGTGATATATTTTGTATCAACATATTTCAAATGTGTGCATATGCATTAGCTATATAAATACATTCCCCAGGAAGTCTGCCAGTGGATGTACTACAAAGCCTTGTATGTTACATTTGGGTTTGCTTGTGCAGTAGCACAGCAGTGTCAGGAAGAACTGCTTTCAGCTTATTTGCTCTACAGCAGCTCACACTTACCTGCACAGCTTCCTGTTTCTCTCAGGATGTTCAAAGGTGCTATATTTATATGCCATGAGTGTCTATGTAGTGTACATATAAATATACACATATATACACACACATGCAAGAGTGTGACTCATAGAATGCTTTGGGTGGGAACCTTAAAGATCATGTACTTCCAACTCCCCTGTCACAGGCAGGGATACCATTTATTAGACTAGGCTGTTCAGAGCTCCATTAACCCTGTTGTTGAACACTTCCTGGGAGGGAGCATCTCCAGGTTCTCTGGGTAGTCTGTTCCAGTGCCTCATCATCCTCACAGTAAAGATTTTTTCCTAACATCCAATCTAAACCTACTCTGTTTTAGTTTGAATTCATTTGCCCTTGTCCTGTCAACACGTGCTCTTGCAAAAAGTCCTTCTCATCTTTCTTGTAGGTTCCTTTAAAGTACTGACCACAATTCAATAAACCCAAAGTCTTCACTTTTCAGACTGAACAAAACTAATTTTCTCAACCTTTCCTTGCAGAAGAGGTACTCTATTCCTCTAATCAACTTTGTGGTCCTCCTCTGGATTCAGTTCATGTCTTTTCTGTCCTGGGGACTCCAGAGGTGGATCCAGGTGAGGGTCTCACAAGAGCAGAGTAGATGGGCAGAATCCCCTTTCACAACCTGTTGGTCACACTGTTTTTGATGCAGCTCAAAACACAACCTGTGCTGCCCAGTATCCCTGCTACTCCATTCCACTTGCAGTATCTGCCTCTGGTCCTGCCCCCTCTCCCTGCTTCTCCTGCTCTGTAGAAAAATTGCTGCACAGACAGATTCCTGAATGCAAGTGGGCCAAGCAGGCCTTGCCCAAACTCTAGACAGACTGACTAGAGGTTGGAGACTAATGAAGGACAAAGAGGGAGGACATCTGCCTGCTGCCCTTGAGGTCCTGCTGTCCCCTTGTCTAAAAGATTGAACAGTGTCATGTTTCTTGCTGTGACTGCGCTCCTTTTCCGGTATCAGTATCAGGAATGAGGCAAAGGGTATCGCACTTTTATCACTATTTACATGAGCACTGACAGATGGGGGCAATGGAGGAAGCGGCTGCAGTGCTGTGGGTGGATGTGTATGTGGGGTGTCATTATCCATGCACTAGGGAACCAAACAGATACTATTACAATGGAGCTATGAGAACCATGCTCTTCTACTTCATTGTGCAAGGAAAAGCCGCAACAAATACTGTAGTGGGAATGCAGCAAAAAGGCAACTTTGTATTTAATTCTAGGAAAAAAAAATATCAATTTGTTTTGCAGTGATGATAAGCTAGAATGAGCAGTATGCCATTTCTCCCCCCACCCCCAGCCCCTTCTTTAGAGCTACTATTTAGATGAGCTACAGTATTAAGAGAGAAGCTGCAAAGATGCTAGCTGCAAAAATAAAGGATGAAATAAAAAGTCAAGCATCCACATTTCCCCCAGCTGAAAATGAAGTTCTGAGGAAAGGGAGGAGGGAAAAGAAAAGGAACTTACCACGCTGCGAGTGAACTTTTCTAGAGAAGTTCTACGACCTTGCTCATTCTCTGGCTTAACAGGGAACGAAGTAGGGAGATAAAAATACAGAAAAAAACCCTTCAGCTTAAATGCAGTCTTTTAAAACAGCAGCAAAATATAAGGAAGCAGCAAGAAGAAAAAGTTGTTAAAAAATGTAAAAAGCAGAAATCAATGTTTGCAACAGCAAACATAAGAAATCAAAACGCCTTAAAGAACGAGAGACATCACTACTTGTACTCTCAGAGAATGTCACTTTTCCCCTGTGAGTTTTTTGAATGGTCCATATATGTCTGTGCATTGCCGTGTCTTACAGCTGTTGGTATTGATTTCTTGTTCACTGAATTTTCCTTCTGTTACTGTTCAAGTGGGGATGCCTGATTCTGGTTAACATCTGCCAAACAGCTATCAGAGGCTCCCATCTTCTTATGCAGAGAGATGAAAAAAACACAATAGCTTTCACAATATTAAAAAGCAATGCCTGAGTGGACACAGCACTGGAAGAAAACTACCACTGCACTCACTGCCAGTAAACCTATACTATTCTATTTATCCAAAGAGTAGAGGCGTATTTCCAGTAAGTCAAAACACAAGACAGCATATGCATGTCTTTGCAAGACAACAGAAAGATACAGACAAGTCCAGGGCACTGATATTTTTGTACCTGGAGTACAGGACTATTCATATGCAAGAAGACATTCAATTGCACTGTGAGAAAACAAGTGTGTGCATCATGGCTTCATTAACATATCCCTGAGAAGGCTGCTCACTGCAGCGCTTCGTTCATTTGGCACAAGGGAGATCTAATCACCACTAACAAGGAAGAACTAAATAATTTATTGGCATGTTTGCTGGAATATCTAAGAGAGAAAAATAGTTATAGAGAAGAGAAGAAAATGCTACCAAAGAAAGCTCACTGCAGTCAGGAAGCTGTGGGCACTGCAGATTTCCAGGAGAGACAGTTATTTTAATGTGGTGAACCAGCAAAATGGGGGTGGTAAGATGGAAGTAAAACTGCCATGAAGGGAATAAGGACCTACATGTAAGGAAAAACCACAGAAATGATGGTGCATCACAATGCACTGGAAACAAGCACTGCACTGGAGAGGCACCTACCTGACATACCATCTGTCACACATTCAGCTGCAGTAACAATCCCCAGGACAAAGGACCAATGCAAAAATCGATAGAGAAAACATAAAGAAGCCAAAACCATACCAGATAAATTGGATGAGAAGTTGTGTAGCTGAGTCTAGGCAAAGCCTTTTGATTCTTCTGCATGTTTATCACAGCTTTCACTGTTCTCTGATGTCTACAAGGTTAGTCTTAAGCATCTCATGGAGAAATCGGACAGATCGTCCCTGCTGCACCACCAAATATGAGACCAAAGCATAAGGCCCTTTCAAGACAAGCAATATTTTTTATCCAGAAGAAAGAAACAAGCAACATCCACACTTATAACCAATTGAGGAAGCCACAGAATCAGCTCTGATGTCCCAAAGTGCTATCAAAAGTGAAAGCTAGAGGCACACCATTTAGCCCAGACAGAGAACGGAGCCAAGGCCTCAAAGCAAGTACCAAGGAATAAAGGAGCCTTCCTGGCTGGCAGGAAGGCAGCAATGTACCCAGTCCAGTGGTTCCCAAAGGAGTATTTATCATGTACTAATCCAAGGGTTAATTGCCTCTCTTTGGATGTGAGAGGAGAGAAAAGGCAAAAGAAACATCAGCCCCACTCTGTGGCTGAGTATTAGAGTCATACAAGTGCTCAGAGCATCACAGATTCCTTCTTGGAAGTAGCCTCAGTGGTGTCCCTACACCCCAAGACAGCAGAGGTGACAGAGAGGAGCTGCATTCCTGCCACTTTGGCTGGACGTGTCCCAGAGAGCACGACTGAGGAGAGCAGTGCCCAGCTGGGCACTGGGCCTCTATGCAGGTCTCCTGCAGGGGTGGTAAGACCCACTAGCAGCCAAGTTACAGACACAATTTCAGGAGAAGAAATACCTGAACAAAAGACTGAGTGTTCTGCAAGGCTCCTTAGGGAAGCAAGGCACTTGGGGTCTGCAGTATGATATTGCTGCAGGCTGGAAAGTCAGTGTCTGACCCAGCTGCATTTTGAAGTGGAGCTCTGGTGTGCACTGGGGTCAGAGGAGAGTGAGCTGCTATACAGGCCACATTGCACTCCTGCACTCCCTGTCAACATTTAGAATCTCTGTTTTCTCTCCCAGCAAGGTGATGCATCTTCCCACCCAGCAGAAAGGCAGGAGGGTGGTCTTCAAAGATGATGAGCACCTTGTTGAGGTGCTGAGAGCTTGTCTGGTGCAGGGCTCCCCACACAAGGCTGTTTGCTGCCTACCACAGCTGAGGACGTGTGGGGAAGCAGCACACAGAGCACTGACAGTGGCTCACAGAAGTGCCTTGCAAAGCACAGTCTGCAGTGCTTTGCACATTTGGCATGGCGGTGGCAGGCTGGGACCAGCTGGATGCGTGGAAAGCTCATCCCCATAGCATCCAGCTCTGAGTCAAAGCCTGACATTTTCTAGTGAAATAAAAAGCAGCTGAGGCAGGCTGGCTGCAGAGTGATGAGCTGGCTTGAGCAGTTTGAACGTCCGTGGGTGTGGGTGCTGGCTGCTGTGCTCGCTGGCTCTTCCTGTCTGCCTGCCCGTGTGGCTGGCTGCCTGCCGTGCAGGGAATGCCTGCCCACAGCTCTGCAGCACAGGGCTGAGCTGGAGAGGCTGCCTTGCACACCAGATGAAGGAAATTTAAAAATAACAAAGTGCAAAAAAGAAATAAATAATTGAAAGACTGAATCACACCTATCCCAGTCCTGGGAACAGACCTGGGGTGTGGACCCTGGAGCCATTGCCTGCTGCAGCAGCCACAGCAGCCTTTGCACAAACACACACTGTGTGTGCAAAGGGGCAAGGGCAGACAAACACATGTGCATGCCAGGTCGTGCAGTCCTCCCAGGTGCAAAAGATGCAATCTTTGCCAGTAAATACACCAACAGCCTCCACCAGCTAATGGCAAAGGACATATGCATTTGGATAAAATATGAAACGACCATCAGATGAAAACCTCTCAGCCCAGGCAGACAACAGAAAAATAGAGCTCACCACATAGATGCCATTCACTAATTATTGACTGACTTCTCTGAATTTTCCTTTTTTTTTTTTAAATCATTTACCCAGCCACCCAAACTTTAAGTTCCTTTGTGTAGATTCTGCTTGCATGGAAATTAAGTAGAAGAAAACTTAAGAAAAACAGCTGACACTGACTATTAAAAGTAATTATCAGAAAATTGCTCAGCATCTTTATAACATTCAAGACAAGTCCGGCCACTGAATCAAACTGGCCACGTGTGCCCTGATGGGACTGAGAAGGGGGCATAATCTGCAACAAAAACCTTCCTGAGCAATACAGAGCAGCTGGCAATAGGGGGTGTGGTTAAAAGCAATGCTTCAAAAGGTGTGTGAGGGAAATGGAGCCTGCTCCTCACAGCATGAAGCTCCTAAGTATTCCCTCGCTGACACTTTTTGCCAGGGATCTGAAAAGGGCTAGGGAAATACATATAGAAATGCAGTTTTCTGAACATAAGGTCTACAAAATTCTCTATCTCCCTCCCTCCATGGATTTATTTTGTTGGCTATTGAATCCTTTTTTTTTGGTATGAGACTTTGGGGTTTTAAGTGGTGTTTATTTTGAATTTGGTGAAAATTAATGTGTTCTGGAGGGAATGGGATCAGATAAAAATAAAGGGTAATAATATCCCTGACCCTGGGTTCAGAAAAGACCAGGAGCAGATCCTGGGCTTCTCAGGTAGTCACATCTACCTGTCCAAAGTGAGAAAGCAAAGGGCATGTACAGTGCTACCAAGTGGCCAGAGTATTTTGCATATATGGTGTGTTTATTTGAATAGGATCACGGTGAATTCACACTTCCCTGAACCAGCTGGAGAGCAAAACAATGCTCTAAACCAAGAAAACACCAACCTGCTCTTCCCTCAGTGCTGCAGGGTTCACTCCCATGGCTTCACAGCCTGTCTGCACTACAGCTGTGGCTGTCTTTCCAGGATGCTTCCCTGCCTATGGGCAGGGCTGGGTGGCAGGAAGCCACCCCATCCCAGGCTGACATGAACACCAGCACTGTGACAGTTCAGCTGCAGCTTCAGTAATGCAGAGATGCCAACCAATGTCATTGTTTCACCTTTACAGTGAGTAATGCAAAGTACCTCGAGGTCTTTTCTGTTCCTTTCGCTCCCTGCTCTGCACAAATAACTAGCAGAGCACGTGTCTGGCTGCTTCTTCACCATTACCAAAATTCCTGTGCACTCACATCCCTTTCCATGTTATACAACTAATCTACAATGCTCCTTTTCCCCAGGGAATAAACCCCTGCTCTGCAGCCAAGTCACCCTGCCAAAATGCCTCCTTGCCTTGAGTGAGGAGGTTTGTTGCAGCACTTGTCCTGACAGGTGGATCACTGCTGTCTAAGGACATCCAGCCACCATTTTGGCTACTGTGGAGAAGGGCTGGAGGCCCATGCAGTGGCAATTATCTGCTGTAAGTACCCTGCAGCAAAGTGCATATCAGCAGAAACAGGAGCAGGTCAGTGCTTGACTCTGCTTAGCACCAGCAGGGCGTGTTGCATAGATGCACAAATAAAACACAGCAAGTTGCTCAGGGATCTCAGCACATCCAGCCCTTCACTTCTGAGCCAGACACCTTCAGCAGATCCATGATTTCTACCTGCTGCAGAGAGGGGGTGGGAATGGAGGCCCAGAGCTCCAGTTGGGCTGGGCACATGGCCATTCCTCCTGAGGACAGGGCTGTGTTCTCATCTCTCCTCCAGCCTGGCAGGGAGGAGGCCTTCTGTTCAGGGCAGTTTTTCTGAAAAGTAGAAAAACTACACCCAGTTTTTCCCCTCTGCAGCTCACTGCTTCTAATCACACCCTTGCTGGAGGCCAACCTCATGTTCCCTGCTGAGCACCATGAATCTGTAGGATTCAGGCCAGTAATACTGTGGTTACTCGCAATAATGGCACTGGGAAGAATGGAGAAAAAACATCTAAAACAGATTAACAAAATATGTATGTCTGGTCTGTACACAGCCTATGTCTGCTGTCTTGCATCAGTTAGTGGTGTGAACAATATGTTCCCCTCATAAATCTGTCATTCAATCTCAATCCCAACCCAGAAGTTCTCTCTCCATTACTGTACTCCCAGAGCAGGCAGGGAAAGCTCTCACATCTTTGGTTATTGTATGGTGTGGAAGAAAGTAACTCTTCAAACTTACAGTATTTTACAAATACAAGAAATGTGAAGTATGTTTTGAAGTACTAATCAAGCTTTGGCATCTCTCTGCTGAGCAGGTCACTATTATTATTGCCCTTTGAAAAAGAGGAGGATATAGGGTGAACTTTTTTCCCCAAGCTCACACATGAAATTAAGTGGGGTAACAACGGAAAGCATACAGATTTTATGGTTCCCAGTTCTGTGCTCTAGCCACACAGTCTACCTTTCCCTTTTGCCTGCCCCCTCAGTTTGCCATTACTCAGTGCTGGAAGGCAAAAGATCCCAAATGACACAAACTTATCCACAAAACATTAATGTGGGAATCTGAAGCCGTAGCTAATTTGCTTAGTGCAAGCAACTCTTTTTATCCCCCGTTCATCATGCTGTGCTTCTGACAGAACTTATTTTCAGTTATGAAAGTAAGCTATGTCACATCAGTGTGGTATACAAGCCATGGGAGGATAATGACATTGGGGAAAGACAGGCCTCAGAGAGAAGTACTCATCACAACTTAAAGAACTGCAGTGAATTTCTATTTACATCAGTAAATCCACAACTTTGTTTGCAGGCTCTAAACCAAATTCTCCATCCATGCAGGCTCTGATGTGTCACTGGGTTCATCTTTTCATTCCCTTGCTTTCTATCTATTTAGAGGAATTTTAAAAGGCCGCCTCTCAAAGCTGCACCAAACACCCCAAAGATAGGACCATGTAGTTCAGTGTACAGAAATGTCATGTTCTTTCTATCATCATCTCTGTACCTACCATTTCCAAAACATTCACTTGCCCAAAACAGTGTAATGTGGTTGCAAAGAACTTTACAGACTCTGGAGTAACACCAACTTCCCTCCTGCATAATGTGCAGCTGCTGAACAGCACATCTGCACTGATTTACTCCTGCCTTTTTTGTGCCTTCATATGTTTACTTGTGCACCCACTGCTCTTTCTAAAAGAAACTTGATTCTTACTTTCACGGTTGCGTTAACATGACACCAAAACCTGCTCCTGCGGCAGTTTGCAGGGGGATGAGGATGTCATGCTGACACATCCAGGGCTTGATCTGACAGCAAACAAGGATTGCAAAAAAATAAATCTTTGGTTTGAATGGGTTTGGCTGAGAGGAGAAAGCTCTCCTGGCTTTCAAGCACAAGTACCCTCATGTTTTCAATGGAGACTGGGGGGTAGGGGGGCCACAAGCTGCTGGGGGTAGGAAGATGGCAGAGGCTTTTATGGTTTATACCATCAGAAGACTTTGCCTTACACCCCCTTCATTCCCCAGTCTCTGAACTAAGTCAGGTCTAACCCTTCTAAAAGTAAGCAGCACTGGTTTGTGTTGTCTCAGACCAGACATTTTGAAACAGAAGGCTGACTGCTGCCCTCCACTACCTTTTGCTAATCCACCTGCCAGTAGTCTCAGGCACAGCAGACAGAGGGGCTTGTCTCCTTTTGTCACCATATGCATGCTTTTAGGGCACACAATGACAATCAGGACAAAAACACCACTGGGATTTCATTGTATTGTGCCGATGCAATGTAATTTGGCAGCACACAGAGAATGCAGCAGAAAAACAGCAGGGAAGATGGTGATGGGAAACCACACACTCAGGCTGCAGGAGTCAGGAATCAGTTTATGTGCAGTCCTGGGAGCCAAATGCAAGTGGGACACACACACATGTATACAGCATGCACATGCACACAGACACACACATAGAGCTATGGGAATTAATCAGGAGATGCAGGAAGCATTTGAGCACAGCCACAAACACAGAAATCAGTAGCTTATCTCCTAGACCCCTTAGAACAAGGGGACTCAAGGACAGGAGTTGTAACCTTACATAACAATTGCTTTGCTGCCGTGATCCTGACAGAATCATGGTGCTGGCAGAGCTCATGCAGATACCAAAAAGGCTAAGAAGAGCTCAAACCCAGATTTCCTCTGAGACAATGTGGCTGGAATTTTTGATTACTACATGCATTGCAATTATTTCCTGTCTCTGAGGAAAAGGAAGCATCTCTGGGGAGACAAAAGCACAGAAAAGGAGTATGGGAATAGCTGCAGGGGGATCTATAGGTAAGGCATCCAAAGGGAATATCACATGGTGAGACTAGGGAGGTAAAAACCTTTATAGGTGAATTTTGCACCAGTTATGAACAGATTGATGGGTTCTGCTTCTCAAATCACATACCATCTTTTCCATGAGAAGGAGGTAATTTATATTGTCTACACTGAGTTTGGGAGACAGCTGTGCAAGACAAACACCTTCCCATACTACTTTTACCTCGGGTCACCATATTTTCCCCAAAACTCGTGCTAAGGCTGTGCACATGGATGCCATGCCCGCAGTGAAGAAGATAAAAGTGCTCATTCCCTTCTTAAAGGAAAAAAAAGCAAACAATATTTTCACTTTCACACCAGCAGCAAGCAGCAGGCGAGAATCAAGACGTGCTAAGAGATGCAAGCATGTCCTTTCCAACAGATACCTTCTTCTTTGCCAGCAGTAAGTCCTGGTAAGCGTTCGAACGCAGAAAGCGCGCATAGCTGTCACTCTTCATCAGCTTGTAAATGTGCTCCTGTGGGATAGGGGGAATGAGAGACAGAGAATTGTTATCAAACCTCATTTAAACATCATAGGAACTTAAAAATGGAGAATTGGAAGGAAGAGAGACTGATCAGAGTTCTAATTAAGTCTGCTGTTATTGATTATCTGTGTTGTGGTAGTGTACACGAGGTCCATCCTGGGGCAGGACCTGCTGTACCTGGAGCTGTATGAAGACAAAACAGAGAGACAGCCCTCATCCCCAAGGCTAGCACACATTATTCACAATATTCTGCAAAGATTGCAACTCTCTGAAGTACCCAGATTATAAGAAAGTGCCTACCCTGGAAAGAAGAAATAAACACCAGAAATTGTCTCATAGATTAGGTTTCATTTTGCCAGCTACAGATACTTGAACAATCACTCAGCACTACCTTTCTGTTCATGGAGGGGAACTGATACTTGCACACATTTCATCTCCACTTCAGACATGCACTTAAGTAAGCCAACATGTTAATGTCCAGAAGAAGCCCATATCTGTGATGACTATGAAGGGAAGTTACATGACTAGCTCCAATGTGGATGGCTACATCCTATGTATAAAGTTACATTGGATGAGTCCCTCTCTTAGGGTTTTCTCTTAAGTCAAACTGCTGTTACCAGTTTGCTCTGAGAGCACTTACTATGTGTATCTTCAAATTAAAAAAGTGGTGTTTCATTGCAGCAGAACTTAATACATACCCTTTTCTAATTTCCTTGCTAAGCTTTACTTTCCCGCTGAGAATCCCTTAACACAGTCAGCTTTTCTCCTAGTTATCCCTGGATTTACAAAAGATATTATCCCAAACACCAGGAAAATAAAATCAAAATACTTTGACCAAATAATGACTGAGAACACACTAAAGGGATCAAGAGAAAAACAGGCACCTTGGTCCTTTCTCTTAGACTTTGCCCAAGGAAGCACGTTTATAGAGTCAATGAGCAGTTTTATCTATAGGGAAGTATACAACATGAAATATTCTCTCCAGCCCTAAAGCCATTGTACATGAAACTTTAGAAGAACCAAACCAGACAGAAGTCACATAGCTTATTTCAGTGTGTTAACAAGCCAAGCAGAATTCCCTTATCTTCACCATCACAGGTAATTAGCAATGACCTGTCTATACACAGAAGAACTGCTTAATTCAGCTTTCTTACCCTATTTGCTGTAGTCCTATGAGGGCCACTGGTTTTCCTTTGACACAGCATAAATGTATTCTTTGAGCTAAATCCTGGCATGGAACAATTTGTACTGGTTAATTTCCATACTTGCTTTTAGTCTTGACAGATCCTCATTTGTGCAACACTATCTATCCAAAGGATAGCACAAGATTTAGCAATAGAATCGTTCAAATAAAACTATTTAGCAACTGTTACCCTTCTTGCTCAGAAAAAACACATGGTAGGTCACAGTTTCATACTCCTCATGTACAGCATTTCCACGAGATTTGATGTCCAGCTGTGGGACATTTGTTCTATTTATGCAGGACAGAATGAGCCAAGTATGTCCTAAGACAAGAACAGGGAACATAATGCACATCATGGATATGACCATCAAAAGGTTTGTATTCTCTCTTAAATACTTCAACTAGCATAAACTCAAGACTGTTGATTTAAAGCCAATTACACCTCAACCAGTTTGCCTGAACTGCTACATCTTAAGGTTTCCAAGGAGACTCCACGTCCTCCTAATAAGTTCTTTGTAGCTACTTGGGAAACAAACCCACCTAACTGGTGCTTTTCCAGGACCATGAGGAGACTGATGAGTAAGTGGGCACCTTGTAGCCCATCAGCAGTAAAGGGCCTGAGGGGCCTCCAGAGCCTTCATCCTCTTAGTGGTCCTCTTTACAGCAGCCAGTACATGCAGGGTGCTGGTGGGACAGGTGCTGAGGTGGGCAGGAAGGTTCTGTGGCTGAGCCAACATCGTGGGTGACAGGGATATTTATTTTAACATTTTGCTAGATGTGATTAATTTTTTTACTGTCTTTGGACTCCAAATGGTTTCTTTACCAGTGGTCAGACAACTGTGTCTGGTCTGAAACATGATGATAACATTTTTGGAAAATAACTTCCAGTTTTCACTGCCACACAGACCGAAGCAAAGCACAACACATGAGGCTGTCCATACAACCTACCTGTATGCCAGCAACAACTATCATTCTTGCTCATGTCAAGAGAACTTCATGTATTTGACCTTAAAACAGTATAAACTCAGTAACTGGTGGTCAGAAGGAGCAAAAATTGCTTTGATCCTGAGATGAAATAAACCACAAACTGCCTTCTTAACTGAAGCCCTTCCCTGCAACAGGACTATTGCACAGCCACAGCTCTGCTGCCTCTGTAGTTAGCTAATTGGCATGAAGCATTTTCTCAGCTTTTCACATCTTGGAATCACTAAACAACAACAGTGCTACCTTTCAGCTGATCACCAAAGATATAATCAAACAGGGAATTCCTAGGCTTTGAATGCTAATGAATAAAGAAGGTTGGGCATAGGAGACATGATAGCTTCAGAAGCAAACTTTACTTTTTAATTGTAAGAATTCTAAGGGCCTGCTTTCAACAATCCCTAGACTGAAGGCATGAATGATACACTAGTAATTTATTTTACAGCACTGCATTTCTGAAGCACCTACTGGAAATCTGAGCAGTTGCTCAGATCAGCAAAGACTGCCTTCCAATTTGCAACAGTACAGGACAACTTGCATTGCTACAATGAAAATCCCTACTGAGACTGCACCCTGAAGATTACTGTTAAAATTGTGGCTGTGGTGTGTGTCCAGCCCATTTACACACCAAATCCAGCTGCAGAATGGGAAAACCTGGTGGCTGGAACATTTGTTTTGATCTCTAGCCTACTCTGTTCTTTGCCACGAAGCTATTTTCTCTTATGCATTCTAGAATCTGCAACTTCCTAGGGAGAACCTACAGCTAATGTTTAGCAGCTCCTCATTCCATAAATACCTTGAAGGCTACTGGAGATCTAACAACTGATCATATTCTTCTGTGGAAGCCTGAGCAACAGGCAGAGGTGTGGGCTTGGATTTAGTTGCTCTGTGCAACATGTGCAAATGGTCTTGTCCTTCTCTGTCATGGATTTTTAGCTCACTTTGGATCATTGCAACCCACTGGTCTCTCACGTCTTATTTTACTGAGCAGCTGGGGTTTTTTCCACCTTTTTATCACATGGTGGAAAGAAAGAACACCCACATTAAAGACTGAAATTTCCCAGTGCAATGCACTTTATAAACATGCACAATCTCCCTGACATTGCATGACAGTGCTGGTAAGAAGTTTGAGCTTTTCCATCCTTATACTGAGATAATTCTCAATTTTTTAAGTTTTTTTTTTTTTTTTCAGGGTAATGAGCTCACTACTGCTGGTTCCCTAAATAGAAAAAGTAAATGCACTACCTGTGTAACTTTTAACAATGCAGCTGCAGACATTTTAGTCTCTTGCACTGTGAGCAGTCTGTCCAGAATTATCAGTGCAACACTTCTTTACAAGTGCCATGGGAAGTTCCTGTGCCCCATCTGCACAAGAGCAGGAGGACCATTTCTTCTAGGTGGTGTAGGCTCTCCCAGCCATTGCCATGTACCACTTCCAAAGTATGGCTCAGTCTCACAGCTCCCTGCTCCAGCAATCCGTTAGGGAGTTACATTGCAAACCCAAGGATTTAAAACAATCATCTAACAAAACTGCTGAAGTGATCTATTAAACCATTACACAAGGTAGCTTATAAAACCAGATAAAATGCAGGGAAAAAAAGTCTTTAAAGATTTGGCCAGCAATTGACAGGCATCACATGTCCCACTGGTCTCCCCTGCAGCCTTGCCAGCTCTTTCTGAGCACTGAGCTGCCATCTCAGGCCACTGCAGTGGCTGCTGCAAGTGGAGACAGGGACTGACTTGACATGTGTGAGGGAGCCCTGGCAAGCTGGCTTTTTGAGCTGACCAGTCACTCAGTCCCTCACACAGCATGCTGCTGATGAGTGCTGGCTGTACTGATACTCCCCTGTGACAATGGGTGCACATTGGGAAATGTCAGCCTACCATGGAAAGTGACACGAGAACCTGCTTTTCTAAGTGCAGTGGATTTAATCTCCAGGAAGCAAACAAATCCCTTACAAGACTCCTGCAAGCAGAGTGGGTTTGCTATCAAATGTCCCCATGACTGTTGTTTCCCAGCTCTTGAACCAAGGCAACAGAAGCAATGGGATCTGCTTGCATCTTGTCATGAGAAAAAAGCAGACCCTTATTTGTGTTTTATGCACCTGAATCACGTGTCCTCCATGGTGGGGAAAATATGCCGTGGTCCTGGGGGTTGTCCAGCTTCACTGAGCATACTGTCTGTACATGGTCTTCTGTCACGAGAGTTACACTTCACACAACATAACCATTCTACTTGCCACAACCATGATATGATATAAAGAAGAACAAACAGTACATTTAAAAGGAGGAAATGTTGTCCCTTCTAGAAAAAAAAAAGGAACCAATGAGATAAATCACCAAAAACTTCTCTTTTACAATTAAGTGAAACCAACAGGAAATCCCACCCCTGACAGCTGACAACTTAAGTGCAGGGAAGTAAATCCTGATAAGGTTCAGCATCTCTTGGCTATTTTCCTTCCACAAGCTTTACCTTTGGAAAGAGATGAAGGACAGGCTTAGTAAATTATTCCTGACAAGAGGGGAAAGGGGGAGGAAAAAATAAAGTTTGCAATCCAGACGGGAATGTAGGAGGTGGCTGAGATAGCAGAAACCATCTCAAAGCTGCACCTGCTCCAAATCAATGTGCTGCAATGTGATCTCAGGTCTCTCTTCCCCCTCTCAGTCAAAGCACAGTGACCCTGAGGAGGGCATGGCTGCCAGATAAGCAGAACATTGGGAACACTCAAGAAAAATGTGGGAAAAAAACTGAATGATAAAAAAAACAAACATCTGACTTGCATAAGGCACGTGGTGGATCCCAGGAATTACCTTCTCTGTTAAGAAT